TTCAACTTAAGGACAGACCTTGGGAACGGAACTCATTCTTAAACTGGGGACTACCTGTATTCAGATGTATAGATGCAATGATGGGAACGTGGAAGGGGGGAAATACAACACTGGTTGCAAACGGTAATGAATTATGTTCTAATATGATTACCTGCAATAGTTGTGTCTGCCTAATCCAAGCTCCAGTGCATTCTCCATGTGCTCATTGTAGGGCCACCTCTTGAGCATGTGGGAGTCCCAAGCCAGACAGTTTTCTCCATTCTCATTCACTGATTCAGTCCCTCTGTAGTCTCTGCCATCCCCAGTGTAACAACTGGTTTCAACATCTGAAAGAAAAGGAAAGAGTCAATGCTGAGTGATGACTAAGAGATGAGTGCTGATTTCCGAACCTGCATAAGGCAGCTTTGATTTCCTCCCTTTAGGCCATTCTAACAGCCTCCTCCAGCTGCAAGAGGCTTTTGCAAGCATGAAGGAGGGTGCAAGAGGGCTATGTAAAAGCAGAAAGGTGTAATGGCATGTGGGGATGACCCTGGAAGATAGGAGAAGAGTCACAGACTGGGCAACCCACATGTAAAACATGTCTCAGCCCACAGAAGGAGAGGGGACGTGGGAAGTGTTTCAGAAGGGACCCTCTGTAGTTTTCCAGAGAGTAAAAGTAAAGGAGGGGAGAAATCCTTTCAGTCTTGCAAGATTCTGTTAATATAACCTTACTATAGAGTTGTGCTTCTTGTCTGGACTACCTCAAAGGGCTAACAAAATCAAAGCAACGGGGATTGCATTGCTTTTCAGTGCTGTTTTCAGGATGGAGCTTTGCTCAACCTTTGCAGAAACAAAACACCCCTGAAAGATCGATAGATCCAAACTGTCTTCATTAGTTCATTGGACCCATTGATATTGACTTATATAACCAAATTGTGAAGTATGCTTGAGAGTTTAACAAAGAGAGTTTTGAAATTTAAACTACCTGCCTTACATTGTCATGGTACATTATTCCCTGTGCTGAGCTATTTATTCTTGTATTTATTGTATTGTCTTTATTTCTCTCTTTCTCTTCTCTAATCCACCCAGAGAATTTTTTTATTACAGGGCAGTTTAAAATTCAACCATTCAATAGTGTATGAAGATCAACAAACACATGACGTGCTCAAGATATCCAGCTCATCTGCATCAGTATGAATGTTTATGAAAATCAACCAGTTGTTTAATGTGTATACACATCATTGTAAAGGAAAAAAAGAGCAACTTAAAGAGTTAAAAGCTGAAAGGAAAAATGAACTGCTAACTTCCAGGTTTCCAGAAAGCAGCACAGAAAAGATCTGGATGCTAGATTTTGTTGGCCTATCCAACCACTTTCCCAACAGATGAAATGAAAAAGTTGTGAAGTACCTATCTCACAGTGATCTCCATCATACCCTTTAGGACACAAGCAGGTTTGAATTCGAGAAAACAGCCAGTAAGACACGCAAGTCCCTCCATTCAAACAGGTACAACCTGTAATCAGATATTTTAAAGATTACATTTTATTAAAACATCAATATGCAATATGGGTTATGTAGAGTACGAACTTAGTGGACCCAAACCACCTGCCAGCTCTTCTACTCCAGCCTGTCTTGTCTGAAAGCTGCTGCAATTTCTAATTCGGAACTTGGCCAAACCATAATAGCCTTCAAAGGGCAACAAAAATGACAAAAATGTATTTACCTTTGTATTCATATTTTGTTTTGCTTGTCAGCTTCTGTTGTCTCGGCCAAATATATGTCTAAAAAAGAATAACATCTATAAATATATAAACATACATTTGTGTGTGTGTATATGTATGTATGTGTGTGTATATGGAAATATGAGTTAGCAGGTTAACAACTCTTTTCTTATTCAATCTGTACTTGTAGGACCAGCTACAAAATAGGAATTTGCTTTTCCTTTCCCCATGAAAATTCTGGATCCCATTGATTTTCTCTAATAAGAATAATTCTTCCTCTAAAGAAGGATTACTATTAGATGTTAGCATAAATGCCCCTCCAAAAATTGCTCCCCAACTGTATTTTTAATATAATAAAAGGAAAAAATGATTGCCTATTGAAGGAGAAATAAAATTAAGCTGTATTTAACTCATTTAATAAATTCGTATTTATTTGATTAAATGTAGCTCCTTACAAAAGCCCGGTATGGCTCTCCACTCAA